CATTTTAACTCTAAAGGTAATATTTCTTGTAACTATCATGGAGTATTAGGAGATTGTCAAAAAAACCAAGATGTAGAACGAGACACTTTATTTCAAAATTGGCTTCTGGTCGATGTTGAATGAACTCTGATGAACTCTCCATTAACTAAGAATTTTTCCTCTCTTATAGGTGTTATGCATGTGCAATGCACGTGGTCAAATACCATAATTAAGTAGTTTAGATTTATTTATTACTAAAATTTATTCATCGATTCTATTTTGATAGTTTTTGCTCTCCTAAAACTCTAAACTTTAGCATTGTGAATATTTATTTTCTCTAATATTCGTTTGAATGAGCTAAACCGAATTTAAAAGTTTCATGTTGATAATTAAATTGACAGAAAATAAATGTAATACAAATCCAATTTAAATTTTTATTTTATTTGGACCAGCATGAAACCGAGCTTGACTTTAAAATGCAGTGTTGTGAAAGTAAAAAACACTTGAAAAATAACATTATAAAAGGAAGATGAACAATTAAAGCCAATAACCCAAGATGATTGATTAAAAATGGTCTAAACGAAACTAAAGAGAATATAAAATTTATTTCCTAATCATTGATAGACTTCATTAAAATAGTCTAAACGAAACTAAAGAGAATATGAAATTTATTCCCTAATCATTGATAGACTTCATTAAAAAATCATAACTTAAAGATTAATGCTAACTTTAATACCCTTTTATATAATAAAATTATCCACATAAGTATATAAATGTACTAAAGTTCATGAAATAGCTTTCTGAAGATTATTTCTTTTATTCAAAAAATTAAACTATTCTATAAAATATTCAGGAAATAATAATTTCTTGTATTCCTTTTGTTTCTTTTTTTATTGAGTTAATATTAATCCTTCTCAACCTTTACCTTTTCCTATGCAATTCTAAAGTAGTGTCTTCATCGTCTACATCGATCGTGACATCAGGCTAGAGCTGAATTTCTTATGATGTTATCATTCCCTAGGCTCATTCATCTTTTATCTTCTTATCTTACATCACAAAAAGTTGAATGTATTTCTGATTTTCAACACAAACTTCTAAAAATATGGACTTTAATTATTTTTTTTCTATTTCAATGAGAATAAATATTAATTTCATATATATAAATTTTTTGTGTTTCTAATTTATTACTTAAATAAGGTTAGAAATTAGCTCTTTTTTCTTTGTAACAAATCCTTCTGTTATGCACCCTATAAGAGTTTGTGCTATATTAAATAATGTTAATTTTTCTCTGTCCGTGTCATTTTCCATGAGGATCTGAACCAAATAAATGCATTTTTTTATTATGAAATTACCTTATATTATAATATTAATATTTGATTTTGATATATTTATTTCATGAAAAAGGGATATTACTTAATCTTGATACTACGTCATCGGTTATTCTGTGATATTTATCATTTAAGTACTCTTATTCACATCTCTATCCACCTTATTGTTGCAACATTTTCAAGCATAGAACCGCGACAACACTATTATAAATGGTAGTTATCTTTATATTATAGGTGCAATTTTGCATGTCTATATACCGGTAAGCTATTTTTAGGCTTAATTATATGAATTTTAGAGTAGGTCTTAGAAGATCATACATCTTTCGAATGTTGTGATGATTGCATATATCAGTAATCTGAATTTATGTTGTATTTGTAAACAGTCTTAATAGAGATATTTTTGCCTTGGCAGCTTATTCTTAATGAGCCTAGCATATTAACTTTAAAATATAATGTTTTTTCTTTATTATGTTATATATATGTTTGCTTGGTTTACTTACTATTCTCTTATTTCTTCAGTAAGTTGTATATTTATGTTGATATATATTATTAACACAATTCACGATGACATGCATATCTTCCCTGCAAATTTGAGACAGATATAAAGTCAATTATATGTTTAGTAGCATTTAATAAGAATTTTAGTAATGAAATATGTTACCTTCATATTTAAAGATCTTGAAATCTAATAATACTATTACATACTTATCTTTGAGTATGTTTTCAATAAATGATCCTTCATTAGTAGTCATATCCCTAAATAAAGTTACACGTAGAGTCATGCCACTATATAAAAAAAAGAAAAAGGTCGATTTTATTTTTTTACTTACGCTATTGTAAATAAGTATCATGTGTATACATTTTGTCCATTATAGTAATTTCCCTCTCCTTGTATGCTTATCATATTTCGTAATATAGTTGATCAATGACTTCACTTAGTTTCTATAACAAGATTATTTGTATATAACTTTATATTAATCTAATGACTCCTTTAATATTTGAAGTGTCAAATATGAAAATTTATAAATACTTACTAATTTTTCTTGTATTTTCTATAGAGAATGCTTCTTTGATTGGGACAAAGTTGCTCAATATGTTCTTTAAGGGGAACTCAGTTGGTGCTTCTTTGATAGATTTGTTTTTTGCCAATGTCAATTAAAGTGATTCATGAATGTTTCTAAATTTTTGGTTTATTTCCTTGAATAATTTCTAGATTTGATGTTGTCATAACCTAGAAAATCAACAAGTGTTAATCTCCCTAGAGAGGTCGACACGTGTCTCACCCGTCGCTTAATCAGACGAATTAAGGCCAAGACGACTCAAACTACTCCTACGGCCAAACCCAGGACCGACAACTTGCGTAGTCGAGTCGAAAGGCGGTACTTGCCGGCCACCTCTCCCTATAATCCCCAGGGCCGACTACTTATGTAGACGAGGTACTTGTCGGCCACCTCACCCGATCGACCTAACGAGCAATCTGCACTCGGCCCACTTTGTTAGCTAAGAACTCACGTAGCTGAGCCAAAAGGTGGTGTTTCTTGGCCCTTGACTAAACTAAAGGAATGTGATGGTTACCTTCAAACCCTCACCAGCCGACTGCTCTCACATTAACTGCTCTGACAAAATTATCATTATTCTAACACCCATAGTCTTTATGACTCATCTGACCAGTCAGCTCTAAGAACTTGCTGTCATTCCCTCATTAAATAACTTGATGACTTATTGTCATGCCCCGCTTTCCAAAAGACCCGAGAATCGGAACGTGAACAAGTCCGTGACGTATTAGATTGAGAAGTAATATACACTCCTATTTTTTTTCTTCTCAATCTAATACGCTAAGCGTCTAGAAATAAATACAATGTGAAGTCACAGGTCCCCGATCACAATCAGCAAGAATATAATAGACAAACCCAGAATAAAAAATCATATAACAAATGGGATAACATCCGAGACATAATATTCAGGTCAACATGCCCTTACACAAATTGAACAAATGAATACTGAAGAAAATGTAGACTACATCGTTCAACTTTAATAGAAAGGAAAATACTACA